ACAGAAGAATAGTAAAATAAAATAAAATAAATAAATAAATATATATATATATATATATATATATATATATATATATATATATTGGTCAGCAATGCATGCACACAGTTGCTGAATTACAGGTACATTTACTACAGCATTTCTTATTCTTAACAACATCTTAACGTTCATAAGAACTGAAACTCCAACATTGTATGCAAGAGGGGTTACACTATATGTACGAAATGTTTTGACCAATGGAACTCATCCAAAAATACTTACAAGATCTACTTGCATTGATTGAAAAAACCATTCAACAAGACCAAAACCAAATCAACAAATCACATATCCCTTCATGGAAATTCTGTTCCAATACAGAAATCCTTTAACTCTGAAAGCTCAATTCATCTGAAGTGCAGAGTTTGGCCATAGATTAAGGGCAGGGTAGCCCATTTATGGTTGACTTGACCATCCTAACCGACTTGCCAAGGATTTTAATGACCATATAGCAGGAAAAGAAGAAACAAGTGAAAAGTGAAGAAACAAACAGCTCAACAAAAAATGAAAATTGCAAGGAATGGAAATTGGGTAACGCACCTCTTCTCTAGTAGCAACCGAAGAGGAACGATCTGTGTCGTAGGATGGGCTCTGCATGTCCCCTCGCTCTCATTGGCTCCTCTCTCTCTCTCCACAAATTTAAATTAACTTCAAAAGAATAGCAATAAATAATTACGAAGATCGGCCTTCTGACAAGGACACTGATAACCAACTTGCTTGGCAAGGGGAATGCATCAAGCACTCATCATCCCTTTAATATCTCCAACGGCTAAGAACATAGAAAAGTGAGACAGAGAAGAAAAGGAAGGGGTGGGCAAGAAGGTAGGCGTTACGATACAGAGAGAGAGATCACAATTCGAAACAAAGCGCAGAGAGAGAGATCACAGTTCCAAACAAAGCTGGGGAGTTTTTGTTAAACTTTATTTGTTAGACTCTAGAGATAGAGAGAGAATAGAGAGCTCTGGTGCCAGATTAGGGAAACAGACAGAGAGCTCTGGGCACCAGATTACCCGTGCAGAGAGAGCGAGAGCGAGATCAGACATCGAATAAGAGCAGGGCATTTTTTGTTAAACTTTATTTGTCACGTTAGAGAGAGAGATCTGGGCACCGGATTACAAGTGAACTGCAGTATGCACGTGATAAATGCCACCTCCACTTTTCTCCCCTCCATTGCGGACCACTCCCTCACTGTACCACGCAATCCCAAAATACATCTTACGGAGGAGCATACTATCCATTTATTGGACATATGAAAGGCCACTATGGGTAGAATATACCACAAAAAAGAAGAGAGAAAAGACGGTTGTAGAGAAAACCTGCAAGGGTGCTACATGCAAAAATGTCAAAAAAAATAAAATAAGAAAAGATGATAAAAACCCTTATGGGCGCTTGCTCCCAAATGATGGACATGGCGGTCTCATAGATCGTCATGAGTAAAAGTCTCACAAAAACCCATGCCCATGTAGCATGACGTTAAACTGTATGACACATGGCCCTAGCCACATGACTCTAAACTATACCACTCTGTCTTACTGCATAATGTAAAACTGTTTGGATCCGAGTGCAAACTTGGATTGGCCACCCATGATGCCGTCTTAGTATGGCAGCGTGGAATGCACACAATATCACCCAATAACCTCATGATGTTAAACTATTGGTCTTGATCTTGTTCTTCCTCTTTGTAAGGGGTGAGGTCGTGAGGGCAAATCAGTACGTTCCCTTAGGTATCTTGTTGTTCCTAAATAGAGAGAATTGCATTCTCGAAGTTCCCCTTAAGTGGCTTGCTCTCGAGCATCATGATGTCCAATGAGTTAGGGGCAACCTCCTTAGGTGGTTCTTCTTTGAGCATCTTGCCGTTATCTGAAGTGGATTAGCAAAGATACCCATTTTCTGATTAGATGCCCCCACCTGTGTGTCGATGGGAGTGTGATTAAAGACTACTTTACCTAGGAGCTCCCTAATAAGGCGTTTTAAATTAAAGCAGTCCTCGTTATTATGAGTATGATTTCAGTTCCAGTTGCGCCATTTTGTTTGTCCTTAACCTCAAATTTAAGTTGGACATGATTAGAGGGGATAGTGAGTCCTATCCATAGGATTTTATTCAAAATGTTGGAGAGGGATTCCTTAGATGATCGGAGTTTGACTTTCAGGAATATATCCTCTTGCCTCCAACATTTGTGTTATTTCTTGTAATTATTGTTGTTGTCATTCCTACTGGCACCCCTATGCTGGTTGTTTCTATTATGAGCTTGGGGTCCAATTGGTGTTATAACAATTTGGCCTACTTGGGCACCAGCTGTTGTTGCTGCTGTTGTTGCTGTTATTGCTGTTGTTGTTGCTGTTGTTTTTGTTTTAGTTGTTTTTTTGTTTTTTTGTTGTTGTTGTTGCTGTTGTTGCTGTTGTTATTGTTGTTGTTGCTGTTGTTGATGTTGTTGTTGCTGTTGTTGCTGTTGTTTTTGTTTTTGTTGTTTTTGTTGTTTTTGTTGTTTTTGTTGTTTTGTTGTTGTTGTTGTTGTTGTTGCGCTTGAGCTTTATCTGGGATGGTGCGGCCACTGTCAGGTTTTTGGGCTTCACACATATAGAAACCACCTTTGGCCTTTACTACAGTTCGACTTGGTCGATCATTTGCAGAAAGGAGAAGGGCCACAACCCTTGGCTAAATAAGTTCATGAGCTCTGGAAGAGATTTATCCAAGCACATGCTAATGTGAGACCTCAATGGTAGTTCTCAATCAATGACTTTTGATGTAGCATTCCTGAATTTGTTGGTGAAATTGGGGAATGACTCGCCTAAGTTCTATCCTGTTGTAACCAATTCCCCAAGGCTAAATGGCTACTGCTTGGTCCTATAACACTGCTCAACAAATCGTCAAAACATGTCGTCAAGGGTCTAATCGGGATATTTAGTGACGACCTCTCATAACCAGGTCAGGGGTTGTCCCGGAAGGGTGTACTGAAACATGGCCTTAAGTCGGTGAGGCTTGTCCTCAAGTGAAGGGACAATTAGCAGGTAGTGACGTGATTCTTGTTTTCGAACTTAGGGAATACGAAACCTGATGAAAGGGGTTTGACATCCCTGAGAACATCCTTAACATAAGATCTAGGTGGGAGACTTGCGGGGACTTCCACTTTTGCCAAGGACAGTTTGAATGTGCTCAACTCGCCTTTTAGCTCGCGGAGAGGCCTTAACCTCATTAGCTTGTTGGTTGCCTGTAGCTAATTGTGTAGGCTATGCAGGTGAGGCAGCTGATGTGGGTTGTGTAAGAATTGAAGAGGGAGGATGTTGGGCCTGCAAGACGGTCGAAGTAAGTTGAGAAGATGGTGCAGGTGGTAGGGGGTTGTGTCAGAGGGTGACAAGAGCAGGTATGATGATGACCTTGACAGGTGGAATCGGGGGCTGGTAAGCTTGAACCGGCGGTTGGAAGCGCACCACCGGGGGGGATTGAATGGGCCGCCTCCGATGGTGGTGACTATAGGCTAGAGGTTCTTCCAGAAGAGACTAAGCCGGCTAGTGCAGCAGATTGGGTGGATAATGGGGTTTTGCAGGGGCCAAGTAGACCTTCTGCGGGCAGCGTGAAGTTATTGTGCCTGTGGGTGATGGTAGTGTGGACTTTGAGGTGGGTCATGTCTAGATCTAGGACAATTGGTGGTTCAGGACAAATGATTTTTGGTGACGCCGTCCTAATGGGTGGAACTGACATGACTATGTTTGTCCGGAGTAGGAGGTGTCCATTGGCCTTGAGTAGGATGTCGACCCAAGGCTCGAGATGGGCCACGAGGTTTGGCAAGGCTAGTGCATCGTAAGAAGGAAGGCCCTGACCATGGGTAGGTTCTTAAGATGTTTGGTTGAGAAGGACTCATAAAACTCAAAATTAGATTCAGGGTCACGCCTAGGGTACTCAAGGCACATGCCCCAAGGGATGAGTTGTGGTGGCTCGAGCTTCGGCTCTTGGAGCCTTTAGACTAGGTTTTGGACGGGCTTTAGTTGTGTTGGCCTGGATTCTTGCCCTAAGAAGTCCGGCCCTGGTCTAATTGATTTTGAAGGTCAGGCTAGTTAAGAGGCATGGGGGCTTTGTTGATGGTGTGAACCTCTGTAGCCTTGCCTTTGACCTTGGATTTGGAGGTAGGAAGAAGTCTTGCCACCTTGAGGGCAGCCCCAAGTCTGACATCATGGCTGTTTAGGTGGCACGAGCTATACAAACGTCTTGGGTCGTTAGGCTTGGCATAGTAGGAAGTGGGCTTTCTAGGTTGAACCTGGGGCACATGACTATGGACTTGCTAAAGATAGACTTGGCCTAACTTGAGTTGGGGTAAACCCAGGGGACAGCGTCATAGGCCCTAGTCAGTTGCCTTGGCATCAAGGTTTAGGAGGAAGTGGTGGACTCGATGTCTGAATTTGTTGCAGTGATGTGGCCATTTAAAGGCCTTATAGAATCATATAAAACTATGACTATAGTGTTATGATAACTCTAGTGGGAGTGTAGTCCAAAGGCACTAAAGAATTATGGTCCAAAGGGACATAAGTTAACAAGATTGATTCCAAGACTTAAACTTGACTTGAGCTAGGCTAGTTGAGATCTAAAACCCCAAGATACTTGAGCATAGAGCACAATAAAAAAGGATTAGCAGGGTCACCCCTTGATGAGATTTAACAGATGATTAGGGTAGTCTTTCAAGGAATTGTGCGACCTTTATGTATGATCGGTAGGCCTGAAGGGATGAGAGTCAAATCTTCATCATGACCATCACACGACAAATATACATATGATAGTCGTATCGAGAATTGGACACCATTGAAAGTGTTGCATATACATGTGCGAGAGATAACCTCCATGTACCAAATTGCGATATGTGTAAACAAGTCTATGTGACCTAGGCCTGTCTCTAGGGAGAACCTGTTATCCATAAACCAGGGTTGTGTTTCCATCATATATGGTGAGATTTGGTAGTCTAATCATGAACTCTTGTGATAGATTGTGGGTCATGGGAATTACTGGGTCAGATTGAGAAAATAATTGTGGAACATGGTCTTTAGTATAGATGGAATGCCTCAGTATTTGCGTATTTTCCTTAACAAAATTGGATATGATTCCCATCAAATTAATTTAAAAATAATTAATTTGATTATAAATGATTTTTAGATTATTAAAATAAATTTTTAGAAGTCTCTGTAATTTTGTTTTTTCAGTTTATTTTAATAATCTTTATAATTTTATTTTCTCCAAACAGATTTATTAATAAGTTTAAAGTGCATTTTAATATTTTTAATTATTCAAATAAAATAAAATTACTTCTTTTCTAAAAAACATTTTATTGACTTTAAAATTATTAAAACATGTGGGGGGCCCATTATGTTTCGTGGGTCCCACTTATTTTTGGGGTTTGTGTGGGGCCCACAAGTGCCCCAAATGTTGCACACCCAACCTCCTTCATTATCTTTCCCAATGTGTTGACTTGTGTAAGAAGCCACTTGATTGAAATAAAAGAAGTAAAGGTTTTGTAATCCGGCTTAATTGATTTATCAAAAGAAGCATGCGTAGAGATTTAATGAAAATAAAATGCAAGTGTATTATGGTTTCCCTACATTACATATTTGATAAGGTTATGTTAAGGAAGCTGATGGATAAGGTTCTAGCACCTTCCATAATATCATGATGGCTTATTTATGGATTGTAAGGTTAAGATTCACATGGCACCTTTGATCAAGATGAAATCTCATGAGGATGCCAAACCCTAACTCTAGCCTCTCTTCTATATAAGCATATCTATGGGGACTTCAAAAATCCGTGGACTTGATCTCTCTCTCTCTCTCTCTCCCCCTCAATGTGGCAAATCACTCTCTCTCTCTCTCTTTACTGCAACTCCTCTCTCGCTCTCTCTCATAGAAAAGAAAAGTAAAAGGAAGGGGCATGCCCCTAAGGTTTATTCATAGACAAGGGCACACCCCGAATAGATTGAATAGAAGAGAAAACCCCATATTTGTATACATGCTCTTTGAAATTGAATAAAGGGTTTGGAATTACTTCCAAGTTTGCTGAGATTGAAGAAAGGCCTAAATCTTGTGCGTCATCGGTGGAGGAGAGCCGACGTGGGGTGTGTGAAGTCTTTGGGAAACCTGAGGCAAGGTATGTGGTATTACTTTATTTCATGTTCGCTTGAATTTATCCAAGCATTATGTAATTTCTAGATTCATGTTATG